CTAGGGCATAGAGGAAAGAAAACTGTGATAGGATCAGTCTGGAGAAAAAATGATGATGGAATCAGTCTGTTGACACTGACTGGTTTGGCAATGTATTATATGAAATACTAGAAATGACATTTGTGCCTGTTGAGTGCTTGACAATACAACAGTAATATTTTATGTGATGCAGTGGTTGCAGTGAAATGTAGTTCTATCAAAACAGTGAAATTGTGTTTAATGGAAAGGTATTTTACCCTGCTGCTTTAAAATTTTTTTTCCATTCAAAAATTACAGGGAGGTCTTGTGCCTCCTTCACACAATTTTCTACAGTGTTAACATCTTAAATATTATATAGTAATATATAGTGCAGTATAGTGCAATATCAAAACCAGGAAATTAACATTGGTACAATTCATTGAGTTTATTTAGATTTCACCAGTTTTACATGTTCGTGTGTGTGTTTGTGTAGTTCTGTGCAATTTTTTCATATGTGTAAATTCATGTAACCACCACTACAGTCAAGATACAGAACTGTTCCAAAACCACAAGGCTCCTTTGTGCTGCCCCTTTATAAGGACACACCCCTGCTTCTGTTTTCAAACTTAAATTTCAATTAATCAAAACTTTAAAAAGTTGAATTTCTCAGTCACACTAGCCACATTTTAAGTGTTTAGTAGCAAAATGTGGTTGGTGGCTATCATATTGGACAATGCAGACTAGACTTTAGACGTTGTGAAGTATCTTAAAGGCTTTGAGATAATATGTTCACTTTCTTCTCAGGTGTGTGTGTGTGTGTTTGTGTTTAAAGAGACTTGATCTTGCTATGTTGCCCAGGCTGGATTTGAACTCCTAGGCTCAAGTGGTCCTCCCAGCTCAGCCTCCGGAATGGCTTTGTCACTGTGCCCTGCTCTTCTAAGGCTCTTAATCCCCTAAGTCTTCTTTTGTGAATCAGAACTAGGTTCATAACAGCTAGTCTCTTTTATGAGTCCTCTTCCTTCTATATTGGCCACTGGTTCTTAACTATTATTCAATTGATTAATAGGATGTTCTAAACATCATCCTCAATATGTGTTGGAAAAAACCACCATAACATATACTGTAGAGGAGGTATTGAAATACTCTGTTTTATAGACTAGTTATGTTTTACTATAAAGTACAAACACTCAGATTCTATGCATAGATGAAAAAAGTATGTTTATTCATTATTAAATAAGTGAGATTTTATTCTAAACTAGTTTCAAGTTAGAATGCAGAACTTCTGC